CTCCACTCTGTCCTCTGCCTCAGAGGTAAGTCCTCTTTGGTACTACTAAAACTACCTCAGGTGGTACCTTGTGGCATCTCCTCATCTGGATATGAGAAAATTAGAGATCAGGTAGCTCCATCAGGGCCTCCTTGCCAGTGGGTAGTGTAGCCAGGACTAAAGTTCCGGTGCTGTGACTGTAAGCCCAGTGTGTCTGCTGCACTGCCTGGCTCCTTTGTATTACTTTGCTCGTGTCTCTGCTAACTTAGGGGACACCGTAACGAGCATGGTAAAGGGGCAGCGATAACGTGACACTATCGAGTGCGGAAAAGGACACGAGAAAACTGGTCACAAGACATGGCGCCATAGAACTGAAAGCCACAAAGAAGGCACACTGACTAGTTTCTGTTGTGGTTTGCTTTTCTTTGGGGGGTTAGTTCACACTTCTTCTAGATGCTTAGGGAGAATACTTCACTGCTAGTTGATTCATAGATATAAACCAATCCCTGTCTTGGAGCTTTAGCTGGCTCACAAACGTATGTGAACAAACATAATAATTTATGGGCGTAGGTAGACCAAGTTTGAAGATAAATGAGAGAGAAGGCTGTAGAAATTGCCTCGTCCTGCCTGACTTGGCTTTCATGAGTATCCAATGCTCACATGATCACGAGTGTTGATCAATCAGTAAATGTCAGAGAAAAGAAAAATGCGAGAGAACAGATGTTATGCTGAGGTCTGGGAAAAGAAGCCAAGTAATAACTTAGTGAGATGAGACCACTGCTGATCCCAAGCCTTACTGTCAGACAAAAGCAGACAAAGCGAGGACCTCTCCAGCAGGGAGGAGGGATGGAGCTGCCAGGAGCACCGTGGGGGTGGTTGTTGAGTGGACCCCAACCCGTGGGGCGGATGTGTAACGGACCACGGCTTCCCGCCCACGGCTGCACCACGGTGTGTGTGGAGTGCCTTCCAGCAGAGGGGCTTGCCTTCCGGCACCATGGTGGACAGCGTTCTGTGTGAACCATCAGCTTGTCATCAGCCAGTCTTCAGAGATGGGTCACCCGACCGTGCTTCCTAGTCTGCCGTAGGATGCTCTCCCAAAGCCTGTCCAGCAGGGACACCCCTGCTGCTGGTATTGGAACTCCCAGTGCGGTCGTTCCAGCACCAAAGCACACACACGCCACCACAGTACGACTCTCCCCCGCCTATGGCTGACCCTCCGAGCCTGTTGTGCCCTGTCACGTGCACGCCAGAAGTGCTTAGCTGCCACTCCAAGACTGAAGAGTGACGTTTAGTGTACTTGCTACGTTTATCATGACATTTTT